CCTTGGTCAGGTTGCAATGCTCCTATGCATATTTAATAAGATATTGTTAATTGTTTTTAAAACTACATGATTACTGTTTTTGCATATTGTCCCAGTGCTCCGAAATTATCCTAGCCTGCTTGCAGGATGGGTAAAGGCCTCTTGAACACAAATAGAGTGAGTTATGTTAGTTCTTCTCTGTTTCACTGTTATACTTTGGCCAATTGAATGCAGTGGAAGGGATGCTGTGCCAGTTCAGGGAGTGGCCTGGAAACTGCTGGAAACTGCTACTTCCTATGTCTTCGAAGTCCACTGGCACATAAGAAGTACAACTGCTCAGAGGCAGCCATGTTGAAAGGAAGCCCAAGCAGCTACGTGGACACCCTGGTTTACAGGCCAGCAGATCCCCCAGCAACAGCCATCATCAGCTGCCAGCTACTTCCTGCAACAATGTGATCCTAGATTCAGCAAAACAAAACAAATCCTGTTGCTGGTTTCTCCTGCTCAGGCCTGGAGTCATCCAGACCTCACCAGAACAGACACACAATATAGTGGAACTGATGTGTAGACCCAGTCAACACACAAGAACAACCATCACCCAGGGAGGCAACCCTGACCCCAGGGCTGGGGAGACCAGCAACTCTCTCCCATGTCCTCTCTCCCCTTGGCCTCAGGAGTGACCCATGTGGGCACTGGCATTCAGGATGAAGACTACACTTCCCAGCATCCCTTGCAGCAATCAGTGGCCGTGTGACCAGGCTGTGGCCAATGGGGAGGTGAGGCCCGTGCACAGCAGCTGCCTTTAGAGGAAAGAAGGTTTGTGCCCTCTTGTCCCCTTCTCCTCTCCCTGTCGGCTGACAGGAGACAGTATGGACTCTCGGGGCGGAGGGGAAGCTACACCCTAAGGAAGTCAGAGCAGCAAGACGGAAGGAGGCTAAGAACCTGAAAACTGCAGAGAAGAATCACCTGACTGGCTTGGACTTTCATGTGAAAGGAATGAACCTGTCTTAGTTAAGCCACTGTGATTCAGGGTCCTTAACCGAGACTGTAACCTAATTGGTAGAAAGAAGAGGAGCGGGGGTGGGGAGATGGAGTTGGAGAGGCAGGCAGAGGTCAGATCACATCGGGTCTGCAGGTCAAGATGGAGGAAGAAACAGGCGACATAGGACTCATGGACCATACCTGCTCCCAGGCGAAGGGAGTTTGCCGTGGGTGCCCCTCCCTGTCTGCTAAGAAAGCTGATTTGACCCACTTCTCTTTAGGACTTTGCAAGAGGCACATCACAGTCACAGGTACTTGTCTCCTAAGAGTCCTTTCAGGGGAGCTGCTCCTCCCACAATTAATCCAGCCTCAGGTATCCCTTTATTAATAGCAACACAGATGGACTGACACATATCTTTAGTGTCAAGAGACTGTGACAAGAGCAGGAAAGAACCCTTGTGTGCATCTCTCCGAGCGCTGGGAGCTGTTGTTGTATTGGCTGCTGTTACTCATCCTGACTGATACACAGACACCACCAGTAGCCCTCTCTCCTGGAGACGTCATGTAAGTTAGGTGAGGCATGACCCAGGAACGCTCTCAAGCTGATTTCCCTCCTACCCCCAGGGCCGCTGAGCAGGGCCCTCATTATCTAAGATCAGTTGGACACCTGTACACCTGCCATGGCCTGGAGCAGGTGCCAGGCACTGTGGATGATGAATGTGAGAACAGCATCATCCCAGCCCTCCTGCAGGTGACTGTCTGGGCAGACCGTGGGATTCCTCCACAACCACCTCCTCACACACGGCTGACTCATGCCAAGCAGCAGGCGGAGCTTGGGATCGCCTGACCCGCTCCCCTCACCTGGGAGCAGCTTATATAGAAGCGCCTGTAGTTCACACAGGGCTGGTGGTTCCAGCTTGCAAGATGCCCCGAGGCCTCCTTGGCTGCTTGGTGATCAGACCAGGTATGTGCAAAGAGGCATGACTCTTTATTTTCACTTAATTGAAAAAAACCACATCAGCAAAGAGAGCATCCGAGCTCAGTGGCCCTTTCTCCCCACAATAGTGACCATGAACCTTTCAAAAGATGCCTTACAGGTCATTTGCCAAACCTCCTGCTTCATGCCGAGGTGTGATGAGTCTCACAAATAGGCCAGACCTGGGAGGGGACACATTCAAGAAACAGCACCAATGAGAGGCCCGGGGAGAGCAGGTCTCGGGACTGCCCAGCCGTGTGTGCACCAAACGTGGATGTGTCAGTGGCCACGCCAGGAGTTAAGCCCTCACCAGGGGCCTCTGGGTGGCCAAGGCCAAGTCTTCTTCAAGAGGTGAGTTCAAATGAGCCAACCATGGCAGAAATACGTAAGGGAGATCCCATGGCTCCCCTGGTTAGAATCCCCTGCTAATCCCGCCTGGCTCAGAGGAGAAGTTCTCACAGCAGCCTGCAGTCCCCCCCTGGTTCAGCCTCCTCTTGGCTCGGATTCTCCATGCCCCTCTACCCCTCTCTGTCTCCTCTCCCACCACAGAGAGGGGATCTTGCAGGTTCATCCTGGTGGATTCAAACCCATCTTTGCCACACAGATAGTCATCAGAATGAATGGGCATAATCTATAAAGAGTCCTCTTGAAAAAGAAAAAGGCAGGCCAGGTGCGGTGGCGCACGTCTGTAATCCCAGCACTTTGGGAAGCCGAGGCAGGCAGGTCACCTGAGGTCAGAAATTCGAGACCAGCCTGGTCAACATGGTGAAACCCTGTCTCTACTAAAAATACAAAAACTAGCTGGGCATGGTGGCTCACGCCTGTAATCCCAGCTACTCTGGAGGCTGAGACAGGAGAATCACTTGAACCTGGAAGGCGGAGGCCGCAGTGAGCGGAGATCACGCCGCTGCACTCCAGCCTGGGTGACAGAATGAGACTCTGTCTCAAATAATAATAATAATAAAAGAAAAAAAGAAAAATTCAGACAACTAAATGGAAACTGGACAAAAGAGTTGAACCAGCCCTAGCCGGGCATGGTGACTCGTGCGTGTAATCCCAGCACTTTGGGAGGTCGAGGCGGGTGGATCACGAGGTTAAGAGTTTGAGACCAGCCTGGCCAACATGGTGAAACCCTGTCTCTACTAAAAATACAAAAAATTAGCCGGATGTGGTGGTGCATGCCCGTAGTCCTAGCTACTCAGGAGGCTGAGGCAGAAGAATTGCTTGAACCCCGGAGGCAGAGGTTGCAGTGAGCCGAGATTGTGCCACTATACTCCAGTCTTGGTGACAGAGTGACACTCCATCTCAAAAAAAAAAAAAAAAAGTGGGGGAGTTGAGCCAGCCCTTCACAGAAAAGGAAATGTGAAGGAAAGGGTAATGGAACCGTGAATAGGGTCTCAGCTAACAGGATGAGGTGTCACGTGTCGCCCACCAGACAGGCAAAAATCCCACAACCCAATCAATGCAAGGGTTGGGAAGAATGGAGAGCAACAAGCACACTCAGCCACTGCTAAGAATGATCGTGAAATTTTCTTGGTATCCTTGTATATGAAAGGGTGTGTTTTGTGGGTTATGGGGAAAATCACATTTCTTACCTGGGATGAAATTGTAAAAACTGAAAGCTACTCACTGGCCAGAAGAAACGTGCACTTGTGTACAAAAGATATGCCCGAGAATGTTCCTAGCAACGGAACTAGGACCCCAGCCTGGCCAAACCCTCATCCACAGGAAGATGAAGACATTTCCCATGCTCCCCTCAGAGGACAGGAGATCACACAGCAAGGAAACTGAATCATGTCAACGTGGGTGGGTCTCGGGAAGAGAATGGAGATGGGAGATCACGCAGCAATGAAAATGAACCATGTCAGTGTGGGTGGATCTCGGGGGAGAATGGAGGACAAAAATAGACCTCGAGCAGATGCTCAGAGCCATGCAACGTAGGAGCAACCGCACAGGAGAATTTCCTCACATCAAAGTTCAAAACTACAGTTGAGGCAACAGAGCAAGACCCTGTCTCCAAAAGACAACAGAAAGTTCCAAAACTAAACGGCATATTGTTTAGGGATGCACACATACGCGGTGAAAGAAACGTACTGTGAAGAAAAGTACGGGAATAATAAAAGACAGAAAGCAGGAAGTGAGTCCCTCTGTAGGAGAAGGGAAGGGACTGGGACTCAGGCAGGGCCTCCAGGGAGCATCCAAAGTTCTGTCTCTTCAGATTCTATTCCCTAAACTTGGTGGAGGTCCTGGTGTCCAATGTGTCGATGTTCTTTATCCCTTACCCATGTTGTACAAATGCTTTTTTCTATTCAGTATTTAGAAGACAGTTATAGGCCGGGCACGGTGGCTCAAGCCTGTAATCCCAGCACTTTGGGAGGCCGAGATGAGCGGATCACAAGGTCAGGAGATCGAGACCATCCTGGCTAACACAGTGAAACCCTGTCTCTACTAAAAAATACAAAAAAGGCCGGGCGCGGTGGCTCAAGCCTGTAATCCCAGCACTTTGGGAGGCCGAGACGGGCGGATCATGAGGTCAGGAGATCGAAACCATCCTGGCTAACACGGTGAAACCCCGTCTCTACTAAAAAATACAAAAAACTAGCCGGGCGTGGTGGCGGGTGCCTGTAGTCCCAGCTACTTGGGAGGCTGAGGCAGGAGAATGGCATAAACCCGGGAGGCGGAGCTTGCAGTGAGCTGAGATCCGGCCACTGCACTCCAGCCTGGGCGACAGAGCAAGACTCCGTCTCAAAAAAAAAAAAAAAAAAAAAAAAAGAAATACAAAAAACTAGCCGGGCGAGGTGGCGGGCGCCTGTAGTCCCAGCTACTCGGGAGGCTGAGGCCGGAGAATGGCGTGAACCCGGGAGGCGGAGCTTGCAGTGAGCTGAGATCCGGGCACTGCACTCCAGCCTGGGCGACAGCGCGAGACTCCGTCTCAAAAAAAAAAAAAAAAAACATAGAAGACAGTTATAAACAAGATGCATTAAATAGCAAGATGGCCGATGAACATCAGAAAGGAACATCAGAACATCCGTGAGATTCCATCCACGGAGCCCTCACCATGGAAACCCTTGTGCTCATGGGCCTGGTCTCCTCTCAAGACACAGTCAGTTGCTGGGGGTCAGAGGCCGCACTCATCATAGCAGAGACGCAGGACCAGCTTGGAGAGGACCCTTCCATGACACCTACGGCATCACCGGGCTGTGTGGAGGGGCTCAGCCGCCAGAACTCACGGGATATCATTCTGCACCGAAACCCCACAGGAAAAATGGTAAGTTCTCAGTTTCTCCATTAATGGCACCTCTCGGGTTAATCTCTGTCCTCCACCAATTCTCCAAGAAACAACTTTTTGTAGCTTGGCTGAAGTCTATTTTTTTCAATTTATTTTTTATTTTACTAGCTGATTGAAAAGATATATATTGTGTGTGTGTGTTTTGTCTCTGTCAGTCAGGATACTTGTGCTTTCAGTCCCATTATTATGATTACCAACATCATTTCGTTTTTTTAAGCTTTTCAATTCCTAAGGGTATTAATCAGGGTCTTTCTGTCTCATGAGACAGAAAGCAAATCCAAACTGAGTAAGAGGGAAAAGGATGCATTAATCACTAGACGTGAGAAGTTCCCAAGCTTAGCTTGCTTGGGGTACAGCTACATCTACAGTTTCCAGTGGCATCCTGTGACTCTCCTACTACTACTTCTCTCTACTACTTCTCCAACTTTGGCTCCATGTTTAGCCAGACTTAAACAGCAGCACCGGCTCCTCCCAATATCTCCAACTTCCCAGCACCCTGACCCTCAAGCTTCAACTGCAGCACGAGCTCCTCCCCGGTCTCCAGCTCCACGATCCTCAAACTACAACAGCAGCACCAGCTCCCCACTGGATCTCCAGCTCAATGACTCTCGGACTTGACAGGCAGCACCGGCTCCCCGCAAAGACTCTAAGCTCCACTATCCTCAACCTAGAACAGCAGCACCAGCTCCTCCTTGGTCTTCAGCTCCACGATCCTCAACCTAGAACAGCAGCACCAGCTCCTCCCTGGATCTCCAGCTCAATGACTCTCTGACTTGAAAGGCAGCACCAGCTCCTCACAAAGCCTCCAGCTCCAAGACCCTCAAACTAGAACAAGTCTGAGGGTCGTGGAGCTGCAGACCCAGGGAGGAGTCAGTGCTGCTTTTCTAGTCTGAGGGTCCTGGATCTAGAGACCCAGGGTGGAGCTGGTGCTGCTGTTCTGGTTTGAAGGTCGTGGAGTTGGAGACCCAGGGAGGAACCATTTGAACAGCAGCACTGGCTCCTCCCCGGGTCTCAGGCTCCACAATCCTCAAACTACAACAGCAGCACCGGCTCCCCACTGGATCTCCAGCTCAATGACTCAGACTTGACAGGCAGCACCGGCTCCCCTCAAAGGCTCTAAGCTCCACGATCCTCAACCTAGAACAGCAGCACTGGCTCCTCCCCGGTCTTCAGCTCCACGATCCTCAGACTTTAGAAGCTGTAATACCGGCTTCTCCCTGGGTTTCCAGCTATGTAACCCTCAGACATGAACCGCAGCAGCACCGGCTCCTCCCCATCTCCAGTTCCACGAGCCTCAAAATAGAACAGCATCACCAGCTCCTCCCTGGATCTCCAGCTTCCAAACCCTCAAACTTCAAATGAAGCACCGGATCCTCCCCACGGTTGAACAGCAGCACGGGCTCCTCCCCCAAAGCTCCAGGTCCACAGCCCTCTGACTTAAATGGGAGTAGCACCGGCTCCTCCCTAGGTCTCCAGCTCCACAACCCTCACACTAGAACACCAGAACTCGCCCCTCCCCGCTCTCCAGCTCCACGACCCTCACACTAGAACACCAGAACTTGCCCCTCCCCGCTCTCCAGCTCCACGACCCTCAGACTTGAACAGCAGCAGTGGCTCCTCGCTAGGTCTCCAGCTCCATGACTCCCAACATGAAACAGCAGCACCAGCTCCTCTGCACAACCCGAACCCCACGACCCTCAGACTCGGACCACAGCAGCACCAGCTCCCCAGCAAGTCTCTAGCTCCACAACCCTCAGCCTTAAACAACAGCATCACCAGCTCCTCCCTGGGTCTTGAGCTCCACAACACTCAAGCTAGAACAACGCTTCTCCCTGGGTCTTCAGCTCCATGATCCTCACAGTTGAACAAAAGAACCGGCTCCTCCCCGAGACTTCAGCTCCACAGGCCTCAAACTAAAACAGCAGCACCAGCTCCTCCCTGGGTCTCCAGCTCCACTGCCTCACACTAGGACAGCAGCACTGCCTCGTCCCTGGTTCTCCAGTTCCATAACCCTCAAATTTAAACAGTAGCAACACTGACTCCTCCTAAGTCTCCAGCTCCATGACCCTCAAACTAAAACAACAACGGTCCTGCCTGGGTCTCCACTCCACGAACCTCACACTGGAACAGCAGCAAAAACTCATCCCTGAGTCTCCAGCTCCACAACCCTGAAACTAGAACACCACCGGTTCCTCCATGGGTCTCCAGCTCAATGACTCTCAAACTACAACACCGGCTCCTCCCTGGGTCTCCAGCTCCATGACCCTCAAACTAGAAAAGCACCTGCTCCTGCTCAGATCTCCAGCTCCACGACCCTCAAACTGCGTCAACACCAGCTCCTCCTCGGGTCTCCAGCTCCACGACCCTCAGGTGAGGGATGACTTTCCCTCAGCTCCTCTCCTAACATCCATCTCCTGGTGACCTGGAAAGGCTCATACCTGGCAGTGACCACAGCTGTCCAGTCTTGGGCCTCTCTGCAGAGCTGACACAGGGCTGGCAATCTCCCTGATGTCTGGGGCCTGGGGCTCTGGGGGCATCCACAGCCTTGGGAGGGTCACAAAGTCCTTCCCTCTGCCTTTCTCTCAGCTCAGTTGGGAGGGACATCCCGGGTGGCAGGCGACAGCTTGGACAATGCGTCTTTCAGGGTCGAGGAGTCAGCAGACTGCACAGGGAAAGTTACGATTTTTTTCTTTCTTTATTTTTTTTATTTTTTTTTTTGCGACAGAGTCTCGCTCTGTCGCCCAGGCTGGAGTGCAGTGGCACAATCTCGGCTCACTGCAAGCTCCGCCTCCTGGGTTCACGCCATTCTCCTGCCTCAGCCTCCCAAGTAGCTGGGACTACAGGCGCCTGCCACCACACCCGGCTAATTTTTTTTTTTTTTTGTATTTTTAGTAGAGATGGGGTTTCACCGTGTTAGCCAGGATGGTCTCGATCTCCTGACCTCCTGATCTGCCAGCCTCGGCCTCCCAAAGTGCTGGGATTAGAGGTGTGAGCCACCATGCCTGGATGGAAAAATTAAGATTTAATGTTGGCTGGGCGTGGTGGCTCACACCTGTAATTCCAGCACTTTGGGAGGCCAAGGCAGGTGGATCACTGGAGCCCAGGAGTTCAAGACCATCCTGGGCAACGTGGTGAGACCCAATCTCTACAAAATATTAAAAAGTAAGCCAAATGTGGTGGTGCACACTTATGTCCCAGCTACTCGAGAGGCTGAGGTGGGAGGATCGCTTGAGCTTGGGAAGTTGAGGTTGCAGTGAGCTGAGATCGTGCCACTGCACTCCAGTCTGGGCAACAGAGCAAGACCCTGTCTCCTCTCTCTCTCTCTCCATATATATATATGTGTGTATATGTATATGTATATGTGTGTGTATATATGTATATGTGTGTATATATGTATATGTGTGTGTATATATGTATATGTGTGTATATATGTATGTGTGTATATATATGTATATGTGTGTGTATATATGTATATGTGTGTATATATGTGTGTATATGTATATGTATATGTGTGTATATATGTATGTGTGTATATATGTATATGTGTGTATATATGTATATGTGTGTATATATATGTATATGTGTGTATATATGTATATGTGTGTATATATATGTATATGTGTGTGTATATATATGTATATGTGTGTATATATGTATATGTGTGTGTATATATGTATATGTGTGTGTATATATGTATATGTGTGTGTATATATGTATATGTGTGTGTATATATGTGTGTGTGTATATATATGTGTGTGTATATATGTGTGTGTATGTATATGTGTGTATATATATGTATATGTGTGTGTATATATGTATATGTGTGTATATATGTATATGTGTGTGTATGTATATGTATATGTGTGAATATATGTATATGTGTGTGTATATATATGTGTATGTGTGTATATATGTATATGTGTGTATATATGTATATGTGTGTTATATATGTATATGTGTGTATTATATGTATATGTGTGTGTATATATGTATATGTGTGTATATATATGTATATGTGTGTATGTATATATATGTGTGTGTATATATGTATATGTGTGTATGTATATGTATGTGTGTGTATGTATATGTATGTGTGTGTATATATGTATATGTGTGTGTATGTATATGTATATGTGTGTGTATATATATGTGTGTATGTATATGTATATGTGTGTATATGTATATGTGTGTATATGTATATGTGTGTTATATATGTATATGTGTGTATATATGTATATGTGTGTTTATTATATGTGTGTATATATGTATATGTGTGTATATATGTATATGTGTGTATATATGTATATGTGTGTATAGTATGTGTATATATGTATATGTGTGTGTATATGTATATGTGTGTATATATGTATATGTGTTTTTTTTTGTTGTATATATGTATATGTGTGTGTATATATGTATATGTGTGTATATATGTATATGTGTGTATATATGTATATGTGTGTTATTATGTATATGTGTGTTATATGTATATGTGTGTATATATGTATATGTGTGTGTATATATGTATATGTGTGTATATGTATATGTGTGTGTATATATGTATATGTGTGTATATATGTATATGTGTGTGTATATATGTATATGTGTATGTATATGTATATGTGTGTGTATATATGTATATGTGTGTGTATATATGTATATGTGTGTGTATATATGTATATGTGTGTGTATATATGTATGTGTGTGTATATGTATATGTGTGTGTATATATGTATATGTGTGTGTATATATGTATATGTGTGTATATATGTATATGTGTGTATATGTATATGTATATGTGTGTGTATATATGTATATGTGTGTATATATGTATATGTGTATATATGTATATGTGTGTATATATATGTATATGTGTGTGTATATATATGTATGTGTGTATATATATGTATATGTGTGTGTATATATGTATGTGTGTGTATATATATGTATGTGTGTGTGTGTATGTGTGTGTATATATGTATATATGTGTGTGTGTGTATATGTGTGTGTGTGTGTGTGTGTATATATACGTTGGACAGTGGCTCATGCTTGTAATTCCAACACTTTGGGAGGGCAGACTTTTTTTTTTTTTTTTTTTTTTTGAGACGGAGTCTCGCTCTGCTGCCCAGGCTGGAGTGCAATGGCCGGATCTCAGCTCACTGCAAGCTCCGCCTCCCGGGTTCACACCATTCTCCTGCCTCAGCCTCCCGAGTAGTTGGGACTACAGGCGCCCACCACCTCGCCCAGCTAATTTTTTGTATTTTTAGTAGAGACGGGGTTTCACCGTGTTAGCCAGGATGGTCTCGATCTCCTGACCTCGTGATCCGCCCGTCTCGGCCTCCCAAAGTGCTGGGATTACAGACTTGAGCCACCGCGCCCGGCCGGGAGGGCAGACTTTTTGAGCCCAGGAGTTAGAGACCAGCCTGGGCAATATGGTGAAATCCCATCTTTTCAGAAAATACAAAAAATAGCTGGGTGTGGTGATGCATGCCTGTAGTCCCAGCCACTTAGGAAACTAAGGCAGGAGGATTGCTTAAACCCAGGAGGTCCAGGCTGCAGTGAGCCATGATTGTGCCTCTGCACTCCAGTGTATGAAACAGAGAGAGACCCTGTCTCAAAAAACAAAAACAAACAAACAAACAAACAAAACGCCGGGCGCGGTGACTCACGCCTGTAATCCCAGCACTTTGGGAGGCCGAGGTGGGCAAATCACAAGGTTAGGAGATCGAGACCATCCTAACTCAATGAAACCCCGTCTCTACTAAAAATACAAAAAATTAGCCGGGCTTGTTGGTGGGCGCCTGTACGCCCAGCTACTCGGGAGGCGCTACTCGGGAGGCTGAGGCAGGAGAATGGTGTGAACCTGGGAGGTGGAGCTTGCAGTGAGCCGAGATTGTGCCACTGCACTCCAGCCTGGGCGACAGAGCAAGACTCCGTCTCAAAAAAAAAAAAAAGTAGTAAATGGGGATTAAATGGGGTAAAGAAGATAGTAAAAAATAGAGAAACAGGGCTGGACACGGGGGCTCACACCTGTAATCCCAGCATTTTGGGAGGCCAAGGTGGGTGGATCACCTGAGGTCAGGAGTTCGAGACCAGCCTGACCAACATGGAGAAACCCCATCTGCATTAAAAATACAAAATTAGCCAGGCGTGGTGGCGGGTGCCTGTAATCCCAGCTACTCAGGAGGCTGAGGCAGGAGAATCACTTGAACTTGGAGGCAGAGGTTGCGGTGAGCCGAGATTGCACCACTGCACTCCATCCTGGCAACTGAGCGAGACTCCGTCTCAAACCAAACGGTGGGTGTGGGGAGCAGCTGCTGCCTCTAGGGCTGAGAGAAAACACCCAAGGAAAGAACAGACTGGGGAGGGCTCTGCCCAAGGTGGGGCCCAGGTCTTGCTGGAGAGGATGTGGCTGCGGACCCCGGAACGGCAGGGAAGCTTGCTGGGCACCCCAGTGATGGCAGCGAGGGTCATCTACTGCGGCCCC